AAAAATTTTTACAGATATTAAAATCTGTAAATTAGAATATCTGATTCTATATTCTTTCTACATTAAAGTAGCGTTCATTTCGTTCGTTTTTCATAAAAAATGTAGAAATCACATTTTTTTAGAAACATGCTTACAATTTCATTGCCCTAGAAGGGCAGGCATTTAAATAAACTCCGTCCAGCTGCCCCTACCGGAAATTAAATGGCCCGTCCAATAAAGGTTACATTAATTAAAAATCAACTTTTAATCTTGAACATTTAGTTCCATATTGTGGCATATTTATGCCATGAAAGAATTGTTGAGCTGCAAAAACCTGTAAACATGGCCATTACGCAACAACAAGGACGCAATAACAATGGGTCATTGCGTAGGAAACGCGGAGCCAACAAAGCGACGTTTCCACTGTTATAACAAAGGGTTCGTTGCCTAACAGCGGGCAAGGTTATAAATAGCCCAGCTTCGACAAGAAGCCTTCAGTGTCGGAACAGTCTCCGGAGAAGAAAGTCTCGGATCAGCATTCGGAGAAGAGAGTCCAGTGTCTCGCCGAGTATTGTGAGCAGTGATTGTAACACTGCAAGTGCAAACGATTGTAAAGAGTGTGTAAGGCGAGCGAACATAATAAACTCGCTATATCAAAGAACGGCGTGAACTTACTTGTAGCGTGACACACGAAACACGCTACATTATCTTGGCAGCAGCTAGTCGACGCGTTGCTGAGCAAAGCCTCTGTAGATGCGATGATTACACAAAAGTGGAGCAAGCTGTCTTTTATGCTTGTCCATTTGAAGGTTTATAGGAGAGACTGGAATTCGTAAGAAGTTATTTAATCAGTTCTCAGTGCGAGACAGGCGTGGGAAGCTCGTAGTGGAAGAAGACCTGACCGTGAGATTTGAATGTTTTATGAATGTGACAGTCAGTGATAGTGAGTGATAGCTGAGAAACCAGCCAGTGAAGACTTATTGTGTGGATTTAAGGCTTTATTTTTAATGTGTAATTCAGTGAGACTGAAGACTGAAGACTAGTGCAGATGGAGTGAAGAGATTAGTGTGGAGTGTTTGTAAATTGTATAAACTTGCATTAGTCAAATATTTAAGTGTAGTTATGGCCTGTGGGTTGTTAATAAATCCAATTAGGAATATGAACCCCGTCTCTAGTCACCAGTACACATGACAATATATATCTTGTATTTAAATCAACATCTAGATGCTAGAATATAAATGTACATAGAATGTAGTCATTTAACCTTTATCGGACGAACGTCATCATATGATGTCGTTAAAAGTTAGGGCAGCTGGCCGAACGTCATCATATGATGTCGCGGATTCCACGCGTGTAAGGTTTTTTTTAATCTTATATTAAAAATATAAATTGTTGTTCTATTTATATGATTTTTGGTCACCACCTTTATAAGGAGACAGCCTTCGTTCCTGCATGATCTAATGTAATCTAGGGACGTCATATGACGTTAAAAGTAAGGACAAATTTAAGAACGACATCATATGATGTCGCGCATTCCACGCGTGTAAAGATTTTTTTAAAATTAAATTTAAAATATAAATTGTTCTTCTATTTACATAATTTTTGGTCACAACCTTTATAAGGTGACAGCCTTCCCTCCTGCGTGATCTAATGTAATCTACCGACGTCATATGGCCGAACGACCTCATATGATTTCGCGCATTGCACGCGTGTAAAGATTTTTTTAAAATTAAATTTTTGCTCTACTTACGTGATATATGTTCACCATCTTCATGAGGAAACAGCCTTCCCCCCTGCGTCATCTATGGTAATGTGGCCTTCGTATGGTACTGCCGAAAAAATTCCGAAATGCAGAGTCCGACGTCGCAGCTCACGCACTTCGTACGAACGCTAGACCGCTTCCCTCGCGAAAAGCACACACGACACCTCAGTTGCGATTTAGAGGAAGCAGGCCAGTGATGTCGAGCTTCAATGATATTTATCCCCGCAGCTACACCGGAATAATTATTCACACCTCTCCAGCCACACTGGTCTGGCGGTCCCCAAGTTGCCGACGAAGGTGATGACCCGTCGTCCGCGGAATCAGAATTCCAACTTTGCTCGCCCCTCTCATAATCTGTCATTGAACAGCTGTTCTCAATTTCAGGCATCAGAAGACCAACCTTCCACGCCACATTCAGAATCGGTTGAATAGCAGTCCGAATCTGTGTCATAGAACAGCTGTTTCTCATTTCAGCATTTTCCATACGACGTCGTCGTGTATAATGCTCTCTAGCAATGCTAGCAGTGAATCTCTGTGCTAAGACCACGATAAGAAGCCATAAATCTTAACCTCGAGCCCACACATACAAAAATCTCATTCACGACTTCTCTGAACCAAATATCTGCTTCATGATGTCATGGGTGGCTAACATATTGCGATGTTTCAAAATCGTTACAAACACAATGGTTTGACTGCAATGAATGAACGAATGACCGATCTGGCAACACCATATTCCAAGAATTAACTGCTGTGTCTATCTAACACATTAGGCAGCGAGGAAATTCAGACTGCTACAGCGTGCATACCGACATGTACCACAAGATAAATAAGCTTCAACAAGAGATAACATTGTATGTGAGGTGGCCACGAAGGACTTACACTGCAAAACGCATGGTGCAGAAAATGTATTACACTGCTAGAACACATGGTGCAGAAAATGTATGAATTTCAGGAAATTTTATTTTGGGAATCAGTGTAAACATTTTTTACAGATATTAAAATCTGTAAATTAGAATATCTGATTCTATATTCTTTCTACATTAAAGGAGCGTTTATTTCGTTCGTTTATCATAAAAATGTAGAAATTACACCATTTTTAGAAACATGCTTACAATTTCATTGCTCTACAAGGGCGGGCATTTAAATAAACTCCGTCCAGCTGCCCCTACCGGAAATTAAATGGCCCGTCCGATAAAGGTTAAGTCTATGTATGTAAATATGTATACACACTTTACAATTCAATAATGAAAATATGTTAATCACAACACCTGAGGATGACCCTATAAGGGTCAAAACATGTAGTGGAACATAAGTTAATAAATTATAGTTGCGTTGACCGTGGAATTTGTATTGTTAGCTATACTCACACAACAGGATGCAAACATTAAAAATAATTCAAAACATGTGTTAGGTATCTTTATGCCATGATTTTGCCCTGCATTCTGGTGACAAGACTGCAAGATATACTTAGTTTTCTCTGTGTTTACTTCTAGACCAATCTCCTTACTAGCTTTAATTAAAGTTTGTATGTTTCTTTATGGTATCTACATTATCTTCCAGTAGTTTCGCACCATCAGCATAG